AACAGACACAGACACAGACACATACACAGACACAGAAACAACACACACACGCACACACACACACACATACATATATATAGGCATGCGAAGATATGTGTACGACTACATATGTAAATAATTAGCTTGTATTCGCACCCAAGTATCTACATTCACTGTACAGTGGCATGAATCTACAAGAAATACCTTATCAAATTTCGCCTTATCGGCGTCTAACTTTTCCTTTTCCCTTTCATGCGCCTCTCTATTGTAATTGATCTGTCGCCCGTATGAATCGGTCTGTGGTTTTTCTGCTGCCGTCCTGCCTACCCTTCTTTGGACGACATTTTCACCCCCTCTCGACTTATCATTTTCCTGTGTCTCTCTATCTTTCTCATCATGTATGGTTAATGCCTCTGAATCTCTGTGACGCCCGTCTTTATCCGACTCTGATCCCCCACTCTTTCTGCCATTCTTTTCTCTATTATTCTCACCTAGATCTCTTTGTTCACCTGGCCTATTGTCCTCACTAATGCTTCTCCTTCGACTACCCCCGCGGGCGACTTCGTTATCGCGCAAGCTTGTATCCTTCTCGCTCCTTCCACTTTTCTTACTACCACGTCTGCCTCTGTCATCATCCGCATAGGACGGCTTATCCTTGTGCCTACGACCACTATTTTCCGCGTCATCACTCCCGCGTTTCTCTTTTCGGTACCTCTCATCACGTTCACCCCCCTTGCCCTTGTCCCTCTTATCGGCTCCGTCTCTGTTAGTACTGTCATGTCGTCTCCGTCGTTCATCTCGGTGTGGACTTATGTGTCTATTTCTGTCATAGTTTCTATCTGACCTTCTATGTCCATTTCTGTCATCATCTTCATCTGAGCTACTCTGGCGGTGTTTGTCTCTCCGTCGTGAGCTATCTCTAGAAGAACTCCTGATTTTGGTTGAGGATTTGCACCTCCCTGACTCTTCTACATCCGAGCTTCTACCTCGATGGCGGCTTTCCCCACTCATTGTATACGATTGTGCTACTGAAATCGATAAATCTTTTAAATGCACATCCACCGAAACAATACGACAAGCAAATAAACACTGCTCTTGACTACAGCGTGTGCAGTGTATATTATCACAAGCGTCTCATGTATTTAGGAAAACTGAAAGCAAAAGCTTCTATATAGAACCATATTGTATCCATAGATAATTGTTTTATAAAAAAATAATTTCTACTAGTGACAGACTGGGGTATATTTCGCCGACACACACACCTTCGTGAATCCGGTGCATGTGAGCAAATTTTTGAGTCAGTATATATGTAAAAAAAAACCAAAAAACCAAAACACAAATAATTGAAGGCTATAGAGTACATATATGCATTGTTCTCAGTTGGCTATGATATATATACATATTTAGATGAATAGATTACGTCCAGTGGCAGTGTCGGCGTAATGAATATTTTGATTTATAGATATATGACTATGTGACGTATAACGGAGCAGTACAACACATTTAAAAAATTTACATAGACCGAGAGCTCTACCGGTCTTTTCGCAAGGGTTAGCTACAAGCTAAATTTATGCACTTACGTGCCAGAAATGTACAAGTCAGGTTCACAAATCGGTCTTTATTTTATACATACATACATACATACATACATGCATATATGCATACTAGCTCATACATACATACACATACACACACACACATATATATATATATACATACACACACACACACACACATATATATATATATATACATACACACACACACATATATATATTAGAAACATAAATATATAAATAGGCAGACGCACACACACACATACAGAAAAAGATACCGATACAAACACAGACACATAGGCACATATATATATATATATATGTATATTATATATATATACATACATATACATAAATATATATATTTATAAATATATACATCTATATATTTATAAATCTATATAAATATAAATCTATATACTTATATATATACGCTTATGTGCAGATAAAGACACACACACACACACACATACGTACATACACACACACGCACATATATATTTACACATATTTACACACACACACATATATATATACATATATATATATAAAGAAATATAAATATACATAGATACAATGTATATAAATACACACACGCACACACACTTATATATATTTAAATAAATACGTGTACACTCACTTACACACACACATATATATATACACGCTTATGTGCAGATAGAGACACACATACACACACAAGCACGCACACATCTATATATTTACACACACATATATATATATATATATAAACAAAGAAATATAAATATATAGATACAATGGATATAGATACAAACACGCACACACTTATATATATATATAGATTCATGTACACTCACACTCACATATATATACATACACATATATGTATACATACATGCATACACATATATACATACATACACATGTATACATGCACACATACATGTATATACAAACATACATACACACTGATATATACATGCATATATATATATATAAATATATAAGTATGGTAATATGTGTATATACTTAATATATATATATATGGAAAAGATACAGATATATATAATAAATATTTGACAAGCAAATCTTCTCATAAAACATGTATGACGTCCAACACTCAAGATCGCTAGTTCTTGCAAGCCGCTTAGGAGTGAACAGAATCAAAGTGATGGGATATTCATAATTCTCCCGTGAAAGTGCAATGAGAATATGCGTATTCGGCTGTTCACTCAAATGACTGTTGTTTCCTCATGCACACAAGCAGTGCTTATTTTATACACAGCGAAACCTCCAATATGTAAACATTCATTTCGACATCTCTAACAAAAACCCATAGCAACCAATTTTGATCGAATTAAGTACTATATAAGAGTATCTCCTTTGTATGGAATTCGACTGGCAATCTTGATGTGGTATTGTCGAGTTGATGAAGCTTCGGCTCGAACCAGTAGTCACTTTAGCGTGCGACAACGTGCCGATTCTGTAAACGCTTTACATTCCAGACTCACATGCCGTGCACGTCTGCTCAATATTGCAAATATAGCATTTAATAGACATTTTATAATTTGAAGGCCGCACTTGCATTATTTCTTCTTTCCTTTGGCGGTCCCTTAGCTGCAACAGTGCCCTTGATCTGCGATACAAATGCAAAAATTGAATCGAAATGAGAAGCCAGCGAAAACCTTGCATTCCCGATCACAGTACTCATGTGTAGTCGAGTAAAGCAATCGAAATAATCTGTCACAGGGTAGATTTGATACATTTCGGAAATAGCTCGATTCGATAAAATGAATGTCATGGATAAATCGTGATCATACAGAGACAAACATCGGCTCCTCCATTTTGCACTGACCATCGTGATTTCAACTAGAGGAACATGGAAAAATGAGAAATCACACGAATATAGACGAGCGCCATCATATACACCCCTAAATGAGTTGCATAGTGCACTAGCACCGATGGTAGGTGATGTGGAACACTCAAACACACTATACAGATGTGACAACCGTGGGCCATATATCAACAGTATTTGATACTTACTGTCGCTCGCGCTTCGTCCTGTAGTTGTGAGAAGAAGGCTGTGGAAGACTTGAGTGCACGTGTGTCCGCAGCAGGTTCAACAGACGAGGCACCCTTGACCTTGCCCTTCTTGATGTCGCTCATCGCCGATTTCTTGTTAAGTTTGTGTGCCAACGCCGGGTTCGATCTGTAGTGCGAAGTAGTGGTAGGATTACAAAGTGTGTTATTTGTCAATGTGCATACCTGTATGAGCACATATCCCTGCTTGTGCATATCATATACGATGGACTTGGAAATGAAGGTGGCTGACAGATGATAACAGATTAAATAAAAGCACACATGGAAACCGTGCTACCCGATATGTCTGTTGCAAGATGTAGAATGTCCATGCCATACAATCACACCACAATTACATTTACCAATCGATGTACCAATTTGTAACTATATATGTTCAAATATGTTATCTAGCAATCAGCTTCGAAAACTGCATGCATGACAACAAAAATTGTCAAACGATATGCATTTTTTTTCATAGAAATGTACTGCTGTATCTATGTTATTTGAACATACGCAAACACGTCTCTTAGGAAGTACAAAAATAACTGTATCGCGAATATATACCCAGAGATGTATGTCTAAATAAATATATCATTCTCACATACATACACATACCTATATTAATACATAAATGTAAATGCGCACACACACATATTTGATATATATAAACGTGTCTGATAGAAGAAAACGATGCACATGTAGTATTTGAGGACATGTATGAGTGTAAAGCATTATAAATGTACATTTATACATATAAAAAGATCAATACAGGAATAGTACACAGGTGTGCGTATTAAATACACACAAGACACGTCCAAAACATTCATTCAAAAGTTTACAGAACATCTATTCAAAAGAATATAAACCACACATACATACACATGAACAAAAAAATGATTACTCGTAATTACTGATATATATATTCGTCCTTACACAGATACACTCACAATCATGCATCATCAAAAAGCGCAACCTTCATATGGACAGAAACATACTTCTCCAACTTCTTCATCTTATCGTCTCTCTCCTTATTCTTCTGCCGTTTGTCGGCCTTCTTAGCCTTCCTCTCTCGGGCTCTATCACTCTCCGTCTTCTCATCGGCCCCCTTGAGCTCCTGTCTGCTCTTCCTGTACGCCTCTTCAGGCGCCAATTGCTGCACAGTGCTCGTTGCGGTGGGCAGTATCTCTTCCATAGCTAATGCGGGTTTGTTTACTATAATCTCGACGTCTTCCTTCGCTCGTGCTGGCGTGAAATGGAAGTTGGCCAAAGCGTCCAATTTACTACACAAGTGCATGTACATCTCAGTCACCTTATCCTGTGCAGCCTTAGTTTTGATAGCTGCCGCATCCGGAGCTCCTCCCACCTGTTGCATGTACTCCTCCTCATACACGTCCGCCAGACCCTTCTTGCTCTTCTCCATGTCCAGTTCGTAGTTCGCTCTCCGCGTCGTGTGTGTGGGCAAGGCTTCCTTCCTCTCAACATCGTCCCACACATCGTCTTTTATTCTTTGTCTAATCAAATCCTCGAGTGACTGTGTTACTTCTTCCGTAATCTCTGGCACCGGTTTCATCGTCGTGTCGAAATCCAAAACCTCTTGCAGTAGCGAATTTGTTTCTCTCGTCTTCGAGGTCGCCTCACCACTCATCTGCCATGACTTACTCTTCAGGTTGTTTTCTTCAATCTCTTTGATGCGCTCTCGCAATTTAGCTTGTTTCTTCTCAAACTCCGTAAGTTGCTCGCCCTCTTCCTCATCGTCGCTTAATAAATTACGCACAGTGCCTTCCTGTTCCTGCTCTTCACTGCCAATGTCACTGTCGCTATCACTATCGCTGTCAGTATCGCCATCAACATCGTTTTTATCCTCGGTTGTTTCGTGAACCTCCTCACTTTCATCATCATGATCAAAAGCAATTTCTTCGAATTGAGCGCTTGAACCTTTGGACTTTCTAGCCAGGCCCTTCGCATCTTCCTCCAAACCATCTGGCTTGTCAAAGAAATCACTGTATGATAAACCTTTCTTGGTGGTCTGTGCGTCATCGTTTTCTTCCTCGCCCTCTGATATAAACTCTTCATCCTCTTCCTCGCTATACGTAGCAAATAGATCAATATCGTTGTCATTGGCATTCAAAATATCCCCCTCTTCCCCTTCGCTGGCACTTTGTTTCTCCAAATCTAGGTCGTCCCCGTCACTATCACTCATCGCGTCTCCGCGCTTTTGGCGTTTATTTTCGAGTCTATCCATGTCATCTAAGAAGTTGTTCATCTCGCTCAGTTTGAAGAAATCGTCATCAGCCGCCGACTTCTTGCCTCGTTTCCGCTTCGGTTGCTGTGTATTGCTGTGACTAACATCTTCTAAGTCGTTTGCAACCTCCTCATCGTCATCGCCACTTGCCATCATCATACGCCTCCGCATACGTGCTGCGTCTTTTTCACTACTGTCACCAGTTGACATCTCCTCACTATCTACATCTTCACTATCGCTTTCACTCTCACTATCCTCTTCATCATCTGCCTGGGCGATCAGAATGATCCCCTCATTATGTGCAGTTTTAAGTGTTTTCTCTGTGCCTTGCTCTAAATAACTAGTCATAGGCTCATTTTGCATCTGTAGCTCTTCCCACAACATATCATTGTCGAAGCCTTGTGTTAATAAACACTCCAGAGGTCCCGCATGTGTATTTGCTTTGGCATTTGGATCGCGACTGACTGACTCTGATACTGCAAGGTCAAACATTTGTTGGGTCACTTTAAGGAGTTGCGCAGCGACGGATGCCTTGGGATTGACAAATACGGTAGGATCTACGAGCACATCATTGAGAACTGATTCAATTTCTTCCGACCCCAACACATCGGTGGGTACGGGCAGTGTACTTGAAACCACCATGATTGCTGAATATGTACGCTTGTCAAGATAGAGTGGGTAATTTCTATATTGTTTTCTGAAGTGCTATATATATATATATATTTATATATAAACCGGTAGTATTAATTTGTGTAGTTTCGGTTCTAAACACAGCCCCAATTACGGAGATGGCCACACAATTCAAAAACGCACGTCTCGACAGCAGTGTATACTACGAATGATCAAACTACCAGTATAGGCACACAAACGATTGAAAATCTTGTCTAACATACATACACTCTAAGGTGTATATCATGCCATTTACTGATGTGTATGATTGTATGATTGACTTCTGGTACGCACGTGTAAAAAGTTGTGACGCTGAGAATTGAGAATTTGAGAATTCTGTACTGTGCCGGCCTGTGCGACTTCAGTGCTATGGGTAGGGTAATTAAGGTCTTTTTTTTAGATTAGGGTTATTGAAGCTTTCTGTCCAAATTTGAGGTTCGGTATTAGCGCGGGATTTCGGGCTCTGGTGGAGTCGTGCTATAGATCACAAATAAATGTATGATATCTATTGAAATCAGATTTACAAGCTTCGCCAAAATAGATAAAAGAATACAGGCTGATGATGTTCATAGCACCACTGTAACAGGTCACAACACGTTAGCTTCAGGCGGTATAACCAGAGCCATCGTTTGGGAAGGTATATTGACACTTAGTTAGAGTACAATCGATATTTAAATCAGCATGACAGGCACTGCACCACTGAAGGTGGGGATCATAGGTTTAGGAGACATGGGCATTTTGTATGCCAAGCTATTTGCAGGCACAGGCTTAACGGTCGTTGCCTGCGATAGAGAAGAAAGATATGCAGAGTTGAAGGCTGATTTGACTGAGGTGGAAAACCTTGAAGTTGTCAAAGATGGTTTCGGCGTGGCTCGTTTGGCTGATTTGCTGATATTCTCCGTGGAGACAAGGGTGGTGGATGCCGTGGTCAAGCAGTATGGCCCAGGTACTTACAAGGATATATTTTATATACGATTATATACATTATCGTTCGAGTGTGTTTTATGCATGCTGTTTTTGCCATGTTCTATTGCAACAGCGACCAAAAATATATGACAAAACTCTTTCAAAGGTAGTATTGTTATTTCCCGCGGTGATTTCTTTGTTATAATGTATTTCGGGTGTTATATTCATGGTGATACCTGGTCAAGACTCAAGAGTCACCAAGTTTGACAATCTTCAAGAGTACTTACCGCTGGTTGTAGATATCTGCAAATATCATTTGACAAGTACCAAACGCTAGACTGGTCGTTCCACTATATTTGCGTTGCTCTATGGCTCTGCTCGAAAGCAACTGTCCAGAAATCAGAAAGATACATTCTTGTTATGTATCTACCATCAAATAAAATTCTCGTATCATTTTAAACAGTAAATATGTGCCACTGATACTGCCCTCAAATACTACGCGTTCATTTTGAGCAGCCGTGAAGTATGGATGTATCGTTGCTGGTCAAACGTCTGTCAAGGGACCGGAGATTGACGCGTTCGACAAGTACTTACCGTCGGATGTGAATGTCGTCACGTGCCACTCACTGCATGGTCCTGGAGTATCCCCCGTTGGTCAAACAATGGTGATTTTGTAGAAAGTCGGCATTTTGTATCGACACCCGTTTACTATGGGACAAATTTTATAAATGTGATCTCTGTGGGGTCGACGGTATACGTCAATCGTTGACGTAGGCGGCGTGTCTATTTTGGCTGTGTCTTCCTGGCAATGTCTGCATGCTCCACAGAAAGTGTAAGGTCTTAAATTTGTAGTTCAGACCGTGGTACTACATTTCGGCGTTCATATTCTGACTTTATTTGCCTCATATAATCGCGCGGCACAGGTTGTGATGCGACACCGTGCTTCGGATGAGGCTTTCGACACCGCTGTGTCTACCTACAAAATGCTGGGCTCAAAATTAGTCTTCATGTCTTGCGAGGAGCACGACAAAGTCACAGCGGATACACAGGTCGGTATGTGGCACAAGGTGCCCCCTTGACGTGATGCTGTCATTTACGATGTTAATTATCTAGGCGTTGTGTCGTGCTATGTCCGCGTCAATCACACGCTGTGAGCGAATATGTTCTGCGGGATGACTCCTTGCCCAGATGCTGATACATATGCAACAGCGTTCAGTGTATCCTTTACAAGGGAACCATAGTACGTACAAGATTGGCGATAATAGTGATCGTACGCGGTGACCGGATACTATCGCAGACTTCACTACTGAGCAAACGTATTCTCTTGCCTGGAAGCGTTTCCATCTCGTATGGACATGGTCGGCGTTACTCGTGAGATGGTATGCATCCTAGCACCCAAATCGCAGTATTATGCTACGCTCGTCGCTCATGCGACCTTTGCATGCGGTGAATTGATGCCCTACTCTTATTTGTGCGCCAACACTTGTCATTTGCTCATGTGACAGTTGATGTCAGCGTAGATGATGTTGTGACACTGTTCCGTGCATTCTATAGCACAATTTGAAATCTCATCATACGCGCTTCTACTCATACATGCCCACATATGGTGACTACGGAGCCACTTAATAGTCACACATCGGGCCGTGTTTTTTATCTTACTTTGCGACACAGACGTTTTTCATTAGACCTCCGCTCAGCGACATAGCCACGAAATATTCAATGTAATACATGCAGCATGCAGGTATACATGTTCTACTGCACTAGTACGTCTCGTCGCATTTTATTTCACCATGTGCCGCTTGGCAACGAATACTACACGTCGACGTATGTCACTTACACGTCTTTTCCTATTCTCACCTTTTGGACCAGGTAGCTACTCATCTGGGATTCCTTGCCATGGGTACGGCCTGGATGCACATGGGCCTATTCCCTTGGGAACATGCGGCCTTTCTAGGGGGCGTGGACAACGTCAAGATTCTTATGGCGCTGCGGATTTATAGCATGAAATCACACGTGTATTCTGGTATGTGCAGTTCGATTTAATGTAGAAGAAGTTACCAACTTACTGAAACTTCGCCTTGGCGTCAAAGTGATTGTATATCCAAGATTATGCGGAAGTTTCACTTACACAAATTGCTACTCGATATGCACCATGTGAATTAAATGGACAGGATTGGCGCTATTAAACAAACATGCAAAACGTCAGGCACTGCAGTATTCAAAATCTGTGACAGCGCTGTTGCAGTATATGATAACAGAGAATGAGGAAGCCTTCGCCAAACGGATACACGAGGTTTGTGTGTGTCTATGACAAACAAGGAGCCTATCTCGCTTTATTTGAACTAGTATGTCTTTGTTATCGTTATGGAATGCAGAACGTACCAATATTGGCATTCTGATTTTGTGTTGAATGATATGCTATCATGTTCCTAGTATCAGAATCATGATACTTTATCCTACCTGGAATTGTGATAAACTCAACATGCAATGAGCGAGCCGAATGCCCCATCTCGCAAAATATATAACCCTCTTTCTTTTGGGCAGTGCATTGAAGTATTTTAAATTGGTTTTCTATAGGCCGGTGATGCAGTATTCCATAATCTGTCAGCATCAACTCATGAAATTCGCAGAGAGAGCGATCTATTGCTTTCGGATGAGGTTCTTGGAGAGTACGGATTGGGCGTGATCCCGGCGGATCAGCGCACTCCAAATTCACACCTCAGCATCATAGCTATGGTGGACTGTTGGCATCAGGTATGTCTATGTGTAGATCACTGCCAGATTTACCTTTTTTGATATGTCTCAAGCCACTGAGTAGCGAATGCTTTGCAGCATATAGTGTCACCATAGATGTAGCGCACTTTCCTCTTCAATCCCGTGTACTTTGGACATTTTAAATCGTCTCTGGTTGTGGGCAGTATTGTAATAATACTACCCTTCGCCGCACTCGATATTGACATATATATTCACAACCTTACAGTTAGGGGTGAATCCATATAATAATCTTGCCTGTCAGACTCCAGTATTCCGCCTACGTCTGGGCATCGCTCAGTATCTATTCAAAGACAGAGCGTTGTTAGACGAGTCGATTAGATGCGCTGTGTATGCTAAGGTGTGTCCACTTACCCTTCGGTCTTGTACTGCAGGTCGCATTCAGTATTACGGATGCTCGAGAAATCTCTTCCAATTTGCGTGGTCTGTCTGTTTCACCGCCCGATCTTGATTGTTATTTAATTACACCAGTGTCCGGCTTGTGCATGACTCTTGGTTTTACTTGATCGGGGGGCGGGGAGATATTTCAATGCAACGCTCACGATTTCCCGAACGCATATGAAATGTAGGAGATCCGAGCCGATGACATGGAGTTCCATGCCGCCGTGAGAGAGTGGGTTACCATCATATGCAAAGGGGATGAAAGCGCGTACGAGCAGCAATTCAACGAGACTAGAAGGTGGGTACCGTCCATTAGGACAGATGTAGAGAATATTTACATAGGTCCTATAGGCGCATGCCAAGTACATTGGAGCGTGTGTCGCTAAAAATTTCCTTCCTATGCCATGCATTTGAATATCAATATAGTGCAATTGCCGAAGCGAATTACAGGTAAATATGAACGGCCGTAATGCTCTTGAATTCATTTTATGCGACACCTTGCAATGGTTTCGCCTATTGGAACTTTGAACCAACCTAAGCGGTGCAACAAATACTTAATTTGTGAACGGATGCGTAAAAGATAGATGCTGCGGCGACTGTAGTCAATTTACGTTGTTTATGAGGTTCTAATCGCTCTACTTACTATACAGCTTCTTCGAAGATAAACTGGTTGAAGGCAGAGAGGCAAGCAGTCGACTGATCAGCAAATTGATCACCGCACCACAGCCCAAAAGGTGATAAGTTATTTTCAGCAGAGATATTGAGACGTTGAAACTTCATGAGCGATGTTGAGGTAGAAGGCAGATGTTGAAGAATCTATTTGATGGCACTTCAAATAAGTGTGGTACATAATGGCAAATGGACAACCGATATGTCAAATCAGCAACTAGTACCGTTTCAGAACCTTGTATTAACTTGCTAGCATACTGTCGGTAGGTATAGCCGAGTCACAATCATAGTTTGTTGACGAGATGTTGGCAGGATTTTATAGTGAGAATACATCAGAAAAGTATTCACGCTATTAGGATTTTAAACGCCTGGTTGGTCGCATTTGGGATGCGTGCGTCTCGTACCTTTTTAGCAGCTGAACGACTAATAAAACCGCTTAAGTAGTATTTTTAATTGCGCGAGCTCGAAAAAGGTTCTGGAGAATCGAATTTGGTCGAAAGTACCTTCCATGCTTCTACGGCATTTTGTCCAATTAGCAGATATAATACTACATACATCAACCTGCGTGCTTGCACCGGCGGCGATATTATGAAGCTTTCAAATACAAGGTGCAGCATTTATGATGTTTGAACCGTTTGATTTGCCGCATGTTTACCTTGGCGAAGTCAATAGCTATATTGAAATCAAGGAAATCATCATTTTTTACTTTCGATGTTATGTTGCTTACAATCTTCCATCGCACCCGATTTGTATCCGACGAAATATACCATTAACAGGCCACTCTGCACTCATCCATAGATACAAATGTATGAAACGAGCCATATACAGTTTATATGATAGGGTTATGAAAATTGAAGGTGAATCATATTCCTGCTGCTGTACACGATTTTTGACGATGTCTACAACGCTATTTTATCTGAGACCGAGCCTCTATGAAGCCGATTGAGAAGGGGTGCGAAATGTTCTTGTTCCGAAGTTTTCGAACACATATTATCTAGTTTTGGGAGTTGTTCATCCTAAATATGAAAGCTAACTTCGATAAAATACTATCATAATCTGTATCAACCCGGCTGCACGCGTGTAGGCTGAATGTGTCTGATATGCTATACAATGCCCGACACCGTTTGCCATTCTCAATCCATTCTTGTTGCAAGCACAAGAGAGTTATGATACAGGTTTCCTTCATTTATCTTTATTCTAAGCATGTATGGTAGTCCCAACTTACAGGCTGCGGGTATAAACCGAGAGTGGATTTAAATTTTGGCACGTCTTCACCTACGAAGTGTATTTTCTGCACACACTGTGCCGACAGTAGCATGCCCGCGGCAATGGCAAGAGATCCTCTCCTTGACCCAACCTCAGCTATGGGCTGTGAACCGTGACCTTCAGCATCCTTTGTACCTACATTCCCATTACTCGACTTATTATCGGCAGATAAGGCGTTTTTACTATGCCCGACTTCCAATTGATTGTCAAGTAGCACGTCGGCGCGTTGATCCATTAAATCATCTGACCCCTGGATAGGAAGGTGAGTGGACAATGAAAATCATCAATATGGTGCTGGAAATTAACATAGTGAGATCACACACATAAGGCAGCATCAGTCAGTAGATTCAAATCGACTCGCTCTAATGGAACACAAAACCGAATTGCACCATAGTAAGTCATTTAGTATTTTCAGTTCGCTTAACGCACCCACGCGAAGATATAACATGGCATGCGCGTGCGAGCGATTCGGAAGTGGGTCTGCGTTACCTCTACTATTGAACTGTCGTCATCCTCTCCCTGTACGCCCTCGGCATCCGATATGGGTGACGTGGACGCAGCTGGAGGACCAGTTGTGGTGAGTGCATTTGTGCCATCGGGCAGTTTATCGTCAACAACCTACGGGGTATGAGGAAAGACAATGTTATCACTCAAAGTTGACAAATGAGAGTTCTCAAAAGGAGTTCCTTGCTGGAAATAGTCCATATCTAATCAGGTACCTCTCAAGTAAGATCGCACGAGAAAAAAAAATACGAATATCAGAAAAAATCCAACAATTTACAACAAATGCGCAATACCACCAAATTATCGCTCGTGTATGCGCAGAATCAAGGTTACCTCTTCTACATCGCGGATACTCATTCGTTTCTGCGGTTTCGTCTCATGTGACGTGACTGGTTTGCCACTGTCTACCGGATATTCACCTATCCAGAAGAAAGATCATCAATTAAAAACACTGCGTGAGAAAATGAAGTATGTACATGCAATGCGGGAGAAAAACCGGTGAAAGAATCGATGCATGGTAATGTTAACAAGGGAAGCTTCAAGACAGAAGCTTCACTACACACACAACCAAATCAATTATTTGATGCGTGTCGACGCTATGGCGCCGAGATTCGAATGATTTAAGGTACTCCGCATACCATTTTTACCGTTAATAACTCCATTAAGCTCCAAATTGTCAACCGTTTCGGTAGCAGGGCCCGCTAGCAAGCATACTTGTATACGCGTCGGACTTTTCGGTGAAATGTAAGTCCTGGATTTTAATTAAAAGATTAAAAGAGCATTTACTTGAACAAACAAAACTTGTACATACAAGCACCGGAAGTGCATGTGCATCGAGGTGCGGTTAGCGCAACAATAGACTCATTTGCATTCGTTTTGAAGAAATGTGTGGCAAACCGACTACAGACTTCTACAAGATCAGGGATTAAGTATGTACAGTAGAAATTCCATTAATGGTCTAAATTGTATGCGCTTGGTTACTACATGTGTACGTTGCTGATGCGCCGCTTAATGACATCGATATTCGAGAAGCATGCAGCGCAGCACTGCTGGGCACTGAACGTAATTTACACACCTGTAAAACTGGAGTAATTCATCCTTTGTTCTCTTCTTGAGCTCTCCGGTTTCTAAAATAGAGCGCTGGAAGTGATATTGCTGATCTAAAATCTCTGACCAGTATTTATTAGACTCCTGCGACATGGACTGTTGCAATGGATATAGAAAATTGTTTCGAATCAGCCTATAGTATATACATTGCATAGACATCCAAAATAATTTATGGCAGTAATGAAGATCTATTCGTGCACCAGACGGTAGCGCTTATCGCAAGAGGTCGCCACCAATTGCTCCTGCACATACAGTGACTGCATGGTCATGGATACACACATACCTTCGGTTTCTCTAGTTTCTTCGCGGCTAAGGTTTCCACATGTTTCCTAAATGTTTCTTCAGTCATATTGCTAATGAGCTCATCGACACTCCCAAGGAAGACATCTGTAGAACAAGACATTGAGCACGGTCCATGTTGGTGCGATAATTCTAAAACTTTCCAATGAAATTAATATTAAAAGTACTTCGCAGGTGTAAGACTTGAATAAACAAGTCTCAAATGCACGAACATATGGTGTAATGAAACCTTCCAATAACGATGCACGCATTGCAACAATCCAATTCCAGACAGAACTTGATTGATATTACCAACTCGAGATGCGAGGAACTCTGGTTGCTTTGATCCCTGAATTATAAATCGCATTCCATTGACTCCGTGTTGCCTTCGCAAACCGGCGTGGACGATATAACCTGGCATCGAGAGGTACATTTCGAAAGTGGTTAGTGCTTATGGCGGTCATTTAAGTTTTTTTCGCGCTTAATTTACTGATCGTGAAGCGGAGAATAAAGTGTCAATAATTGGCCCGGATTCAACACGGCCACACCACGGATTCTACTTGTCCTGGGGCTGCACAATGATAAAAACAATCTTGAGATGCAAAACTATAGCCCAAGAAAAAGTACTTCATATTGCAGGACAGAACAGATTGTCAGCTTTGAGTATTCATTCAATTACAACACACCTAATTGTTCGTTGGTGCGGAGTTGATTGAAGTAACTCTCATGTATGCACTGATTAAACAGTTCTATTAACACATTCTTCAGGGTAGAGTCCAGCCCAGTGACAACGTACACCTCGGTGGCGGTGACATCCAAATGTTTTGTCTCGATTTTCTTGTGAACATATTGGTAACCTTCTTCAAATCGCACGTGGCGATGCCTTTCCAGCTCACTCGGTTGCAGGCCAGTCCCGGACAAACAAACTCTCTCCAATTGCGGGATAAAATCTGCTTAAGCAACGAAGAAATTAGAGACTATCCAAGGAAAAGTATATACTTTTCCTTTCACTTGTATTCTCTGTGAAATAAATAAATAAATAGAATTCCCTGTTGTTTACGTTGTGCTGAATACTACACTGAGCTGATAGTGCCCAAAGCAACGATAGCACACGCCACATACACGATCATGCGCACTAAGCACACCGGATCAGGGCAGAAGACTCACCTCTCGCTTCTTTCCGTGTGAAGTTACCATGCACAAATGATTCTACTTGCACACGACTGAGCAGATCAGGGAGGAATGCTCTGAGATCATCGGGTGTGATGCTCTGAAGGACATTGAGCTTCTGAGCATGAGTCCAGAGTTTCTCATTGCTGAGCAGATGTGAACTGTATATGCAATGATGGTAGGGTTGTTCGGCTTCGAAATTGCTGTACTGCTGCCGTGCCTGTTATACATCAAATAAACGCTTTCACAGGTCAGTAACTAAACTATAGTTTAAGCAGGCAGGAAATGCAGGCCTCCCGATGCCTTCACAATGTACTGGTTACACATACTGCGAAGAGTCTCAATGTAACGTTAAAATGAATTCATGGCGTTACGCATGTACGCGCAAGAGCAATTAAGCTAAACAGCGGGGCAGAAATATTCATTGAACATTTTCTCGCTTCCGTACCGGCGGAATAAACTGATTCCTTCGATGATTTTTTTTTAACGCAACCTTCTGGGATTTTTGAGAACACATCAAATTCACACCAGACATTTCATTGAATCTAAGCACAGGGCCCTACTAAAACCGAAACAGGCGTCATGGGGTGAGTTGGAGCCGGAGGAGAATAAGTCAGTATGCACAAACAATTAGGTTACCCAGCGTATTCTTATGTGCTCGAAATATACTATATACAAGGTATAAATATAGTGGAACTGTCGTGTTCTCAGCAGAAAAAGATCTGGCGGTACATCTAGGCTAATCCAAAGCAAAGACCGGTCGCGGTGTTCCCATCGCTTGACAAATAAATCACAATATACCTGTTCGCGTAAAACCTCAAATCGGGTGTCTTCGAATGAGAAATTGGCTATTTTGTCGATGATCATGTCCAGCAGTACACCTAGCCTGCGAATGTATCGAAGAAACTGTTTAGGGCCAAATTCGCGATACACCAAGAGTCACACTAGTGGCTTTGGAAACTGAAAGTAGCTCATGCGTGCTAGAATTGAAAGCACTACTTTATATAGGCTGCCAAAATTGTAGTTGACAATAGATATCATATTGCAATTGCTCCAACTGTGGATGTGTGAGTTTGGAACCTGAAGAACGATGCACGCACAGAAAATTGACACGCTACCAACTTACTTGTGAGTGTATCCCTTCACGTGGAAAGAAATCCCGTACATTGAGTTGTCGAATGCGTAATCGAGGCCACCAAGGGCTGCAGCGTACGTTATCTCTGATAAGTCATCCTGCATCGGCAAAATACAAGTGTGTGTTACCTACATATATGAAAATGAGTATACCACACACATGCAAACAATAGATAAGTCAAATGAAGGCATAATATAAGACAGATATAGGAAAGTGTCCATCACAAAAGCGTAGCGACTGTTCCAACTAGAAATCGGGTCGAGGCAGAACAATTCACAGCGCCGGTCCATGGTGTAGCAGTGCAGTACCCGAGTGAGCGTAACCTCTCGCAACCATGATTGTGTAACTGTGTCTAGCAAAAGCCAATTTCTTGAGTGCGGCAATAATTATAACGCACACAAGCGATCACTATCGACATACCTTCAGCAATTCGGCGAATAAATTGGTGAACACACAGTTTAACGGTGTAACGTATGCGAGAGGACTCACGAGATCGCAGTACAAACGACCCTTGGGCAGAAGAAACGTGTCATCGTGTTTGTGCCACAGCCTGACCGTATTTGTCTGTGCAATCATACTCGGGACCTCTCGATCCTGAAAGTGGCGAATGTATGCATCATCGTGTCAGCAAGGAACGCATATGTACCCCGAGAAGCTAATTTCATATATGGGAATTCACAGGCAAAGCTAGAAGTGTATATCAGACTTTTAGGGAACAACAATAGCGTTCGCGAAAGACTGCAGCGAAAAGCAGGGCACGACAATAAACTTTGACCGGTATCACTTACATGCTCATCTCTCTCCTTGATGGTGAAGTCTGATGGGATTAAGTTGTTGGGCTCTGGCAGTATGAGGGCTTCATGAAGCCCACAGCTTACCCATGCCTATTTTTGGAGTTCAAAAACTTTGTCAGTGTCATACAATTCGGGGTCTCACTTCTACCCCACACAGACAGATGAGTTTATCATATACATAATGAACAGCTGGTCATAAGAAATTCGTGCACTGATATGCATGCACAACAGGCACAGACAATCGACGGTCGCACATATCTTCGTCAATAATATACTCGCGGGTTCAATGGAAGGCACTTAATGCACATTTGTACATTAAGATGAATCTGAGGGGCTGTAGGTCCATGTCGTAGACGAATTCGACCGGTCGAGACGAAAACAAGAGTCAATACACCATGGAATATAACCCCCCCCCCCCCCCCCTTCGTTTTTAAAACACACTGACAGCTAGCAGAGGACCACAGAATGCTGCAAACAATTCAGTAGCTCATAACATCTTGCGTCCTTACCTTCACAACATTTTCATCCAGCGGCGAATTATCGTATTTCGTTCCATACCATTCCTCCGATGTTTGTGCAATGTCTCCAAAAGTGTTCGCCACCACAGTCATCCTGTTTAACCCCAAGTGATGTTTAGTGGTGGGATTCGAATAGGTCGCACCAAATATAACAGAATCCATTATTGTGGGGGGCAAAGGGTCTTGCCGACTTTAGACCATTATTTTACTACTTCACACTGTATCTCTAAATTACAGTGTTTATGTAAACACCGTGGATGCGGTGGTTTTAGCGAACATACACTTATACCAGCACATACCTGCAGTTGAGGGGACTCATTAGCGAAAGAAAGTGCCTGATAGCCTCGGGTTTGTACTCGAACAGCAGATAGGCACCGGAGATAACATGTTCGGCGGGATAGTGCTGTGCATACGCGAGACAGACAAGAGGATGTGAGGGCGTTATAGCACAATACACCTAGTGCGAGAAAGCTGTTGGTGGTAGACCAAACACGCGACAAAACAGAGCAAAAAAAGTTATGTTGTCATCAATAGCAGACAGGATCAAACAAGCTGGGACGTTGCCTCCACCGAAGCAACTCTTCGTATCAAACTCGGCGTATAGTCATAAAATCTGCTCACAAATAGTAAGCATGTAAAGAAAAGCAATACACGCCCGAAATCTTACATGCATGTTGCTAGCTGTGGACGACACGTACGACGAAGGCGACTCCTTGTCCTTGAAATCCAACTGTATACGACACAGGCTGGCACATTCCTCGTGAATCCACTCCTCCACACCCGACTGTTTGATTAACTCGATGTACTGGAACAGAAGTGTGCCGATGTCGTTGACGTGTTCTGTGATGGAGGCGCGTAGTTAGAGTGGTCGCTATATCTACCATGCAGTAAATCTGAGCTAGTATATGTAACAGACTACGAGCCAAAACAAAATTTACTTCCACTCAAGCACCAGAGTTTGCAAAGGTCTAGATAGCTCATGGCCAGATGACAAAGCACCGTACCACCACGAGATCAATTCAAAAACTCTTTCTATGAACTACCTGCTCTCCTTCAGTAGAGAGTTTGCCTGTGCGACTTCATAAACAGATACGACACAAAAGCGACACACTCTACCCATATCAACTCCGAATACGTCTGTATGCTCAAACACTCCGAAGCCTTCAGCTCGCAAGAATATGCCCCTGAACTGTACGACATGCAGAATGGCATTCCTCGACATACATTCCCCAACCCTTGATACAAGTCCCACTTATCCCGTTCCTCTTCGATTACGTCCACAAAAGCTATAGCTCAGCGGAATAGCACTCGATATAGACCACACTTACCTAGTCCAACCTCGGTGACGTCCACTGTAATCTTGAACACTCCGAAACCATTAGCCCTGCGAGAGTCGCCTGCCATGGTCGACAGCGCCCAACCTTTTGCTTTAAGCACCGACAAGAGACTGCCGGGGCCTTCATGTCCGATCAGATGCGCTATGTATTGGGTGGGCTGGACAAAGGTACGGAGATTAGTCTATATGCCTAAGGATGTAGTGCATACATGCTTCTATGGCGCGAAAGGAATCCTACTACTGAACATTTTGTTGCGCTGTGTATCGAGGTGGCGGGATGACAAAGCTGGAAGCACTTTCATTTTTATTATAAAGGGCTAAAAATGCAGACAGGTGAGACTAAAACGCACTACTGCAGTATACACTTGCATTACAAACAGTGCTGTTTGGTGCAAATGTATTCTTTTACATTTTGAGTATTAAGACAAGAACCATCGTGCACATAAAAATCTTGCACAGAAGGACCACGTTCAGCACACGATTCGATAATACAAACAAGTACGTACAAAAGGCACGGGCTGTAAACCGTTCCTTTGCGCATAACCGGCTGTCTCATATTCCTTGCTCAGAAGAAATAAACATATAGCTGGATCAATCACAATCTTTGCCACTCGATGTACCGCAGTAACATGTGGTTGAGGATACAATCGAGCTCTATGACACAATGCGTCTAACATAGATATATTTCGTTCACTCGAATCCAATTACGAGATTGTGCACACCAGGCGAAACGCATGATGACTAGCATTCTAACACACCTTGGATAAGTAGTGCACTTGAGAGTCTCCAATGGGGAAAGAAAATGTTACGCGCCTGAACTCCTTCACTGGTAGCACTCTGAACAATCGCTGCAGCTGGTCTGGTCCATAAACATCATCCGGCCATACATCCACCGTGCGATTCTTTCATGGCAAACATTGCAAAAGGTTGGAATATACAAATATTAGCGAATCATACGATTCTATCGTAGTAAGCAATTCCCGGTGTTCGATAAGGCCTATATGAGCATGTCGGATAGTAACAAATTGACTAAGCACGCCATGAACTCGTGCATTTCCTAATCATGATGGCAATATGCTGGTAGCTGTGCACATACACACACGTCGTTATTAAAGGTACCATAGCGCTAATATGGTAATATGTACTTGTGTGTATGCTCAGTATACTTTGTTTTCAACCTGAATCATCAAAGAATCGACTAACGGACAACAATTGCGGATAATGATATTTAGACCCGCGTACTTGTTTACAGCGAATAATGATAAATAGACCCGTGTACTTGTTTACAGTCTATTCTTTTAAACAAGACGACAATCAACACTTGAATCCTACACACAACGAATCTCAGATACCAATATGTCTTTATCCCATCACAACTCTAGGCGCTTAGGCTTTCTGGGATTACGTACAACCGGACAACTTACTAGCGAGCATAAAAAATAAATGTCTTCCAACAGATGAGCGACAATGAAGTCAGGGCGTGCAGGTGAATGCAGCGGTACACAATTCCTCAGTGGAAAACTGATAACTCTCACGGAGGCGCAGGCTTACCGTGTTTTTTATATCAGAGAACTTGTCCAAAACCAGTATTCGAAGTTCTTCCAACGATTGCCTGCCCACGATGCAGAGTGTCATGATATTTGACGAGTAGTGTCCATGGTAGAACTTGATTAGCTCGTCTCGCACATCAACCCCTCTAGCCTTGGGGCCGTCACCAAGTGTTTCGAGATTGCCTACGTTATGATTGTGTTGATGATCAGACGCTGAACAACAAAGAGTGCATAACCTAGAGATTCTGGCAAAGCAAGCGGCCACAGAGGGCGCAGTAGACAGATCAAAACTATACAAACCTGGCATAATAACCATATATGTAAACGCTCAGACTCTACAGCACACTTTCCAGTAGAACATGCGAGCATAAACTACCTGTGCCGAATCGATTGTAAACGTGATCTGGATTCGACGTCGACTTATCTAATTGGTTCAATCGCCACACATCCTGATTTATGTTTTTCTCGTGCTCTGAATTCACGGCCTGTATCTCCTTATCTTTGGAGGACTCCAAGAATAGCGGGTGGATGAAGAACTGCGACCAGCTGCACAATACAATAAACGTCGATATATGAGTACATAACCTTCTTACACGTTCCAACGGCGCATACAAACGGAATAGCGCACGGCCACAACCGACATAGAACTAGTCCTTGCATAGAGTAGCAACAGAGTCACTGGTGAACGACAAGCAGAACGACAACGAAACGCAGCAACAAGCTGAACGATTAAGAAGTGCAGCAATCATACCACCGTGATATACTCATCCGAACACAGTAGGGCCAACGAGCTAAAGATTCAATACTTACATGTCAACAGCCTCTTCCAGCCACTGATGTTGCACATCGAAGTAGTAATTCGTGTGATCCGTGCTCGTGTATGCATTTGATGAACCACCGTGCCGAGCAAGGTACTGTAGTATATAAGAACCCAAAAGTAAGGAATAGTTTAGTACTCCACAACTCGCAAATCAACGCGCAGCACAAATCATAGCACTGTTAAATACGAAAATGCAATTTTAATATATGTAATATATTTATATATATATATATATATATATATATAATAACAATAATATAATAATAATAGTAATATATATATATATATATATATATATATATAATAATAATAATAATATATA